CTGCATTTATTTGTTTTGTAACTTTTGTTTATGTTCTGAATTAAATATATTTCTTTATAATATTAGCTTATAATTTAATATATTAGCTTGTTGACTAATAATGCGTGTCCTAAAATTTTTCTAGCCAATCACGTTGCTCACGTTGCTATACGGTTTGGGAATCGCAAATTCGCAGCCGGGTATTCTTCTGATAAACTCACTGGCAACCGAATCAAGAGCACCCTCCCGCCACCGCGTTCGCGCTCATAGCATATATCTAGGATACTACTAACAGATCTAAAATCTATGATAGGCTTTGCTATACCGGTAGTACAGTAATAAAGATACACCTGTGTACACGATAATGCTTTCACTAATATTAAAGTGTTATCTATGGATATAGCGTCGGGCGCGAGCGTAACGTGGTGGTGGTGGGAGGAGGGTGGGAGGGACAGGAGAGGCTCTAATAGGGCAACCGCAGTTCAGTCTTTGTTAACAGTCAACAAGAATCGCCTTGTTTTAGCCCCTCCTCTAAGGTTCAAAAGATTATCAGACACTTACTCTTCGCACGTCAGCGGAAAGCACATTTCATGCCTTTCAAAAAGTGATAAAAATGGTAGGTCACACTGAAAACAAAAAGTTTTGCACTCGGTCGCGTTAAGACCATGCCTCTAAAAAATCTGAATCTGACTTTCCCCCCATCTGCCTTTGACGCTGTGACCTCCGAATTCGCGCTGGTGATGGTTTCCATGCCCGCAATCACATATCCATCGAATATAAGAGCGTAGGTCAACCGTTGAGACTTGTGCCGCAATTCCGTATTTCCTCCTATACCTTAAGTTAAGGGGGAAATATTCCCCCTCCATTGACACACCTTGATCCCGAGTCCTTTTCGCGACTCCCCCCCCCCGACGTCCCGAATATCAAGACCGTACGTCGAGCGGTTAAGATTTGTGCCCAACTGTTGACGGACGCACGGACGGACAATCATGCGATTCTACAAGCTGCATCTGACTTCGTCAGCTGAGCCAAAAAAAGCGGCAATCATTGCCAACGGGTTGTTCACATCGATGCAAGCACGTTAGCTGGCTACTAGACGCATGGTGAACTCACATTGCTCTCACATTCAAGCGAGAAGTTATATCTCGCGTCCGGTCGGAGCACACAGCATGTCTTTACAGTACTAGATGGCCAGCACGACGTAATCTAGTGCACAGCCTAGTGCCTTTTACATCGAACTATTTTAATAAATATATGAATAGATAGTTACAACAAAATAACACACACGCGCACGCACGCACGCACGCACACGCACAAACAAACACACACACACACACACACACACACACACATACAAACACACACACATACACACACACACACACACATGCACGCACGCACGCACGCACGCACGCACGCACGCACGCACGCACGCACGCACGCACAAACACCACCACAACAGGTCTTCACGCAATGGCGACGTCGTCCACCGCGCCCCAACCCCCCTGCCCTACATATGTACCAGCCCCACCCACCTTACATCTGTACCAGCCCCACCCTACCTTACATCTGTACCAGCCCCACCCTGCCTTACATCTAGACCAGCACCACCCTGCCTTATATCTGTACCAGCCCCACCCTGCCTTACATCTGTACCAGCCCCACCCTACCTTACATCTGTACCAGCCCCACCCTGCCTTACATCTGTACCAGCCCCACCCTGCCTTACATCTGTACCAGCCCCACCCTGCCTTACATCTGTACCAGCCCCACCCTGCCTTACATCTGTACCAGCCCCACCCTGCCTCACATCTGTACCAGCCCCACCCTGCCTCACATCTGTACCAGCCCCACCCTGCCTTACACCAGCATGAGGCTGGCATCCCTGAACCAGCAAGCGGCTCATCCTGACGAAACCATGTTGTGGCTTGACGCAGCGCATATCTAATGAAGGCCGAAACAAGTTCAGAAATTATTCATGCGATAACTAACAGACTGGCATCGTTCATTGATTTCTTGCCGAACCGTGATGATTGAACTCCCACTGACAGGTCGGCACCGTGACCTCCATAGCTTCCCATGTAGACCAGCAGACCGCAAAGACATTCTAGATGTTCGCATCCAACACAGCGCCCCCTGCTACAAGCAGCAGCGGCCCACACTCGCACTAGCTGTAATATTTATCACATAGGGTGAGAGTGTTTCCACGTAGCAGCCGCAGGAGATTCTCAACGACCTAAGTAGTCTGTCGAAGCACAGCGCGGCAGAGGCTAAAGGCGTTCCAAGCGCGGGAACGAAAAAGAGTTTGACAGGCTACAACTTGGACGAAATAGCACGACAGAAAGAGGACGAGAATTGATGAGGAGCAAACAAAAATGAATGCAAAATGTCCCGGGCGTCTATCCCGACCTGATTCAACAAGTTATAGGATCAGTCTAGTGCAAAATTGCGTTCCAACCAAACATTGCAACTATAGTATACGAGCTTTAACATAAAACTACACTAATCAGGTAGCACAAATATAACATTTTCCATCAGCCCTCTAGCACATATTTGGATTCCCTTCCCTCCTCGTCATTTAATTTCCCTTTCTTGACTATCGGTCTCCTAATCTCCATACCTAAGTCCTCAATCCACCTCCGCATTCACCCAATGGCTGCGCCCCCTCCCTACTCCTCCTGTGTGTAGCGGCGGCCGTGCTGACTAATGACACGCTCAGCCTGTTTGCATATTAATAAAGGTGTGATGAAACCGCCTCTATGCGAATCCATACGTTAGTTTGCGTACCTTTGTCAGCTATCGTGAGACCTCCCCCAGCATCCGCCACTTAGGTAATTAATACTAAACCAGCTTTGGAGTGAACAGCGCTAGCGATCGGAAGGTGAAGGGTTGCGCATGTTTTCTTAGCACTGCGTGTTCTATCAAAGGACTGCCAACAAACAGTGACCTACTGGTAAAAGCTATCGATCAGGTAGCTACATATAAAAAAAATATGATGGACAAACCTACAGACAGCTGGTTGCATAAAATCAAAGGTGCGCCGCTCGTGTACACACACACACACACACACACACACACACACACACACACACACACACACACTACACCCCCCACACGGGCCACACGGCACACGCACACACGCACGCACGCACGCACACACACACACACACACACGCACACACACACACACACGCACACGCAGACACGCACACACGCACGCACACACACGCACGCACACACACACACCCACACCCACACACACGCACCCCACCCTCCAACACACGCACACACACACGCGCGCGCACATGAATGCATGGGCACACACGTATAGAAACACCCAAACGGGGCCTACATACACGCACGCACGCATACAGGTATACATTCCCGCACTCACGCACACGCGAACACCAACATAATTATACGTATCGGGCTCATACGTACACCCATGCATCCAACCTTATTTACTCTCTCCCGTACAGCACTAATTCTCTAACTATTTCACACAGAGCCTCCCTGTCCAATTCTCTGCCCAATACATTTTCCCTGCCTATTATTTCTTCCCATACATCATGTCTCTCCCCTAAGCGATGTCACACACCCTGCACGCCTCTCATTAAATTGTCCCCAAGCGTTAAGTAAGCGCATGGGAATTCGTGCGAGGGAATGTAATAGGTGCGGATAACGTTTGGGGACAATTTAATGAGAGGCGTGCAGGGTGTGTGACATCGCTCACTCGTACGTATACTACACTCTACCATACACTGCCCTTTCTCTCGTACTGCACAACACATCCTCACCTCACCTTCACCCTCTTCACCCCATTCTACTTCTCCACACACCCCCTTGCTCTCTCCAACTGCATCAAACATCCACCTCACCACCCCTTTCCTCTCTACCACACACCCCTTCATTCTCAACTACATTAACACGCATCCTCCTCCTCCTCCTCCTCCGCACCCCTTCTACTCTATCACACACGTCTCTCTCTCTCTCTCTCTCTCTCTCTCTCTCTCTCTCTCTCTCTCTACCAATGCACAACATATCGCTATCCGCACACTGTTCCACTCTACCATACACACCCCTCGCTCTCTCCCGCCACACCACGCATCCTCATTCTCTTCCTCACCCCTTCCACTCTACCATACGTACACCCGTTCACGTTCGCGCTTCTACGCACGTGCCTCCTCGCCCTTCGCGGAGCCCTTGCAGGCCTATATTAATTATACAACACTGCCATCGAAGCTTAACAACAGTTTACAATAAATAGCCTATTTAGACCGGTTAGTATAGACTGATATTCGTGTAAACATCGATATCGCACGACGAGCAATACAAAGCAGCAGAAATATAACTATGATAGCACATCAACCGAGTAAGCCAGCAACAGTGCAGCTTAACCCTTTAATAGACGACGTCAGCTGCTATTGTCTGCCTAACTCGCTATAATTAGACCGATGTTCTTGCTTCATTTCCAGAATTATAAGACGCATGCGTGGGTTTGATGCTTAAGCGGGTGACGTCAGTGACGCCATAATCACATAGCTTGTGTGCAACCAATGAGGAAAATCTAGGGCCTTAGTCACTAGCAAGCCGCAGCCAACTATTCCGACTGTTTAGTGGTCTCACGCTGTACAACGGCCCTAACATTTGAAAGTTGGCTAATTACTACCCATGCTCAATGAAAGCTAACCCAAGCACCTGTCTCGGAAATTTCTGGCCACAAATTTCTCTTTCAATCTTTAATGTCAATTTTCCCACTCTTACTCTCGATAACAAAAGCTTCAACCTTAATGAGTCTAGCACATTGATTTCGCCAAAACGTCTAATCACCTCAAATAAAAAATGACTACATACGTATACGGACTTTATGCCATCAGAAAAAACTGCGTGCTAATGCGAAAATAATCCCCACGCCTTTGAGAAAGCAAGGTTGTGGTTACTAGTGGTCACCATTAGTGCATGGTGCTTGCACTGGCGCTAGTGGATGAATATACGCCTAAACAACGTAAACTGAGGCGTACCTGTATAAGCGTTGATGGAGACAGTGAGAATCACAGGCTGACCAACCCTGTAGCTGTTCTCTTCAGTCGATTTGCATACTTGGCCGTTAAGCGAGATCTCTGCAAGAATAAAAAAAAATGTTATTCCAGCGTTGTATATTAATTTGCATTAAAAAGTAATGACTAATAATTACAGACCCACATGATGGGCTGGGTCTAGTAAGACATTCTGAACACTGTGATAATGCATAATTAATATAATAATATAATGAATATAATAATAGAACTGATTTCAAAGTGATATTATATATTAAATATTTAGCCAATCTTTGCAGCTTCCTCTATGATTGACCGCGGTAACGGTAAAGCACATCGCTTAGCAATATGAAATATTCCCCTTCTACAGACAGTCAAACACAGACAGACGCACTTGTGCAGACATGCACCAACATCGAGAAGGTTTCCTCTTATTTTTATCACTAGCACAGGCGATTTTGTTGCCAGCAACAAAATCGCCGAGAAATCGCCACGTGTGCGCTGCATGACGATAGCAATTTTGACGCCAGAAACTCGTCGCTGGAATATCAAACACGTTTGATATTTGTTGCCAAGTCGCAGAACAATCGCTACGTGTGAGCTGCGCTGGCGACTGATTCAGGCAACAGTTTTTGGATTAACCAATCAAATGCATGATTTGAAGCACGTGATCAAATATGGCAGCGCCCGTGGTATGGAAGAGAACGAGGGAGGACGAACTCGTTGAAATCTGGCAGAACCGCCAATGTCTTCGATATTACGAGTGGGATTTACAGCGATAGGAATAAGAAAATAAAAATAAAATATATTCCAATAACTTGAAGAACGGTTATCGTGGTGTCAATGGGCGCTTCCATTTTGAACAGGTCACGTAATCAGTTCATACAGTGGTATGTTGCTGACAGATCGTTGCATTGCCGCCGGATCCCGCACACGTGGCGATTTTTATCGCCCGTACTAGCGATAAAAATCGCCACGTGTGCGCCCGGCTTTATCGAAATTCATCTCATCTGTAAATTGAACACTAAAATTCTCTAAATGGCTTATTTATGTGTTTTTCGTGCTACGAGGACTGTGACTATGGAATTCAGCACCACCCCCTTTCTCCGCCTCTCTCTCTCGCCCTCTCTCTCTCTCTCTCTCTCTCTCTCTCTCTCTCTCTCTCTCTCTCTTCTCGTCTCATCCTTGTTATTCTCTCTCTCTCTCTTTCTGTCGCGCTACCAGTTATCCTGTGCATGCTAATGTACGAACATCTCGTGTACAGCCATCTTATGATGCAAATTCTATTACTCTTATCCGATTCTCTTAAGAGAAATGGTTACTTGAAAGCGGGGTAAGCAGACAGACGAGCTATTCACTTATGAAACCGTCGTGAATGTGTTTACCCGGCTAAACAAGTATATATATATATATTTTATATACATATATATATTATATGTGTGTGTGTGTGTACATGTAGTATCTGTAGTTGTACCCGTGTAGCTAGTGCCTGACACATGCAGTTGTCAGGCGCGTGTGTGAAAAGCGCTTCAATTATCCACCCGGTGAATCTGCCTGCTTGCTGTGAGCACCGCAGCAGCAACTTTGCTGTTATGTTAGCACAGTAAAATTATTTACGGTGTAGCTGAACGATGGCAGTGGGTGTCAGAGGGTTGAAAGGTTCAGCACTTCCTTCCTTCAGGGATAGGAAAGCACAAAGTGATCATTCCGAGGTGTGATCATCCCTTAGGGACCTGATCTAATAATAACTAGAGCACTCGGATAGTGCAGACCTCCGCCAAGGCAGCTGAATTCTCTCACTGTGAAAAATTGTATGAATTAATTAACTAACTAATTAATTAATTGGATCCGGATCACCACCAAAATGTAATGTTACCCCATTTCTGACCTATCCTGAAAATTTAATTAATTAATTGGATCCGGATCACCACCAAAATGTCATCAATTCTAATTGTTACCCCATTTCTGACCTATCCTGAAAATTTTATTAATTAATTAATTAATTAATTGGATCCGGATGACCACCAAAATCTCATCAATTCTAAGTTAGCCCATTTCTGACCTATCCTGAAAATTTGATGACAATCCGTCCATAATTTTTTTAGTTAGGCTGTACACAAAGAACGGTGTTATAAACCCACAAACGAACAAACACACGCCGCGAACAAACACACGCTGGTGAAAACATAACCTCCTGCCAACCCCTTGGCGGAGGTAACAAACACGCACGCACGCATGCACGCACGCACGCACACGCGCGCACACACACACACACGCACGCACGCACGCACGCACGCACGCACGCACGCACGCACGCACAAACACACATCGCTATACAATCGAGAGGATCTATTAAGCACAGCCTGCAAGTAAGTGTGCATGCATGTGCACTGTGCAGGGGTCAAAATAAGTGATGGTCCGATAGTCCGGGGCCAGCAAGACTCTGTGGTGAAGCGGTGGGATTCTAGTAAACCCTGTTAGTCCCAAATGTGTTCACATACACGCCGAAACAGTGGAAGGCACAGGGATGGTATCAGGAACCTTCTCGAAGGAATGTTCGTTGGGATCGTTATGAAAGTTTCCACGAGATGGCGCGTACGTTTAAGTGTCTTAAGATTAAAGATAGAAGCTCCCATCGTACGTAGTAGCAACAACTATTTGCAAGACAGAATAGGTAAGCACTCATCCATTTACCTACACAAGCCTACAGGCTAAAATAGAGAGCTGCCATCTGTAACTAATTAACGCAGGCAAAAACTACACAGTACTATCACCACCACATGCACTGGCAATGGCATAAGTTACATGTAACACACTGACAGTACAGAATGCCATAGAAATTATACAATTTAAGGAGCATAAACCCTCTTCAACCAAATTTAGCTTTTGAAATTTCACTGTGACATTGTAGCCTCATACGTCCAGGCATGTATAGATTCTACTAGCAAACCCGGCAGTAAAATTCTTTCTAACACTAGTAACAGTAAACAAATCCATGTTTAACCCTCCTCTTGAGGGTCAAAAGGTTATCCGACACTTACTCTTTGCATGTCAGCGGAAAGTACATTTCATGGTCCTTTCAATAAAGCCATAAAAATGATAGGTCACCGCTGAAACAAAAAAGTTTTTAAACGCTCCGTCAGACCATGTCCTCAGAAAATGTCTAAAATCTGCCCTGTGCCCCATTGGAAAAATCGGGACTAAATCTTTTGACTAAATCGGACGACTAAATCG